CGCGATAGCATATTTGAATAAATACGATCGGCTCCGAATTTAGCTTATTATTATTTTCCTTTTAGTATTTTATTTATTGCTTTATTTAGGTGCTTTTAATTAGTAGGAAATAATTATCTTGCACTTGTTAGCAAGATGAGGACTCTTTGTTCTTTTTATTTCGCGTATGACGCAAAACAGAACAGTCATTGTTGAGTTTTATCTGATTTTGAGTGAATTCTTTCGAGAGAGTATCTCGTGTTCTTCCCTACGTATCACGTTCTACATCAGTTGGTATCCAGAGACCAGCGACGATCCACGATGCCGCCCAAGAAGGATAACGCCGTTGACGATCGCTTCCAGCGAATGGAAGAGAGGTTCCAGGGGATGGACGACCGGTTTACGGACCTATCGACGGGGATTGAGGAATTGCGCGTGGCGATGCGAACCATGATGGAGGACCGTACGAATCGCGACAACGGCGGCCGGGCCGTGCGCGGTGGGTATCGCGGAGGGCGTGGAGGACGCGGCTTTGGCGGGGCGCCCCGCCACCGTTCACCACCAACTCCGTCCGGCGACGAGGAGGATGAGGAAACCGTTAGCGTGGATAATCCCTTTGCTCCGTTCCCGCGACGACGACCAGCAGTTGAGGAGTTCGTCGAGCAGGAAGGGTACGGGAGAGGGCGTTTTCCGCGAGGGTTTGGGGGAGACGATTTCTGACGCCACGATGGGATAGGGTTTGCAGGCGGCGATAGACATGGTGGTCGCAACCCTAACGGCGAGGAGTTCCGTCGGCGTGAACGCGGCGATCAACAGCGGCGCGCGGATTTCGAGGCAGCCGGCGATTGGCGGTTCGACGAGTTCATTCGGCCACCACGCCGTGGCTGGGACTTCGATGGTGATGACCAATGGATGAGGGGAGCTGGCGGTGTACGTGATGGATTTCAACGAGAGGCCTATGATCGACGTGACGGCAGGCGCCCGATAGAGGGGGGCGGTGAGTCGCGTTGGGATCAGGGGTTTCGAGTTGAGATTCCCGAGTTTGACGGAGGCGTTGATGGAGCGGAATTTCTCGATTGGTGGGCTGCGGTAGAGGCCTTCTTCGCATTTCGAGAGGTCCCGGAGGAGAAACGTGTTGCTCTTGTCGCCACCCGATTTCGGGGTCGAGCAGCGGTATGGTGGATGCAACTCACCAGCTTGCGGCATCGTCAAGGGAAACCACCCGTTTCATCATGGATGAAATTTCGAGAGTATGTGGAACGTGAATTTGTGCCTTTCAATTATGATAGTATTGTTTATCAGCAGTTACAGAATCTTCGGCAAGGACCACGTTCGGTGAATGACTACACTACTGAGTTTCATCGTCTATTAACACGTGTTGAGCTTCGCGAGACGAAGAACCAATTGGTGTCGAGGTATGTCGGGGGTCTACGCACCGGAATTCGTGATATGTTAAACATGTTTCGTCCCGAATCGGTGTCTGATGCTCATCAACGAGCCATCCTCATTGAAATACAAATGGCACAGAAAGCGGGCCAGTCTGGGACCACATCTTTTCGGCCAGGAGCTCCGGTGGGATCTGGCTCCGCATTCTCGCGACCGGGGCCGTCAGCAGGTGCCGGATTTGGACAGGGAGCGGCGGCGAGTAGACCGGCGACTGTCGGGGGGAGCAATCTGCGGGCCGGCGGCATGGTGGGTCAGCAGGCGTCGGCGGCTGCACCTCGGGCCGTTGCGGGCTTACGGTGTTTCGGGTGTGGAGAGTTCGGACATCGGCAGTCAGTTTGTCCGAAAGGGCCCGGTACTCGGGCGTTATTCGCGGATGAGATGGGAGATTTTTCTTTCAATGGCGAATACGACGGTCCACCAGCTTACGATGTCGAGCCTGGAGAGGTAGAAGAGGTGGTACATGGTGATGTGGGTACAACATTGGTGCTTCGGCGGGCCTGCTTGGCGCCACGGGGTTCGGGCGATTCTCCGGTGGAGCGTCATCATTTGTTTGAGTCTACCTGTACGGTGGGTGATAGAGTGTGCCGCTTTATTATCGTCTCGGGCTCGTGTGAAAATGTCATTGCTAAAGAGGCGGTGGACAAGTTGGGTCTTTCAAGTGTTCCTCACCCACAGCCTTATACACTTGCGTGGATTCAACGAGGTAATGCTATCACTGTTGATCGGCGAGTGTTGGTTTCATTTTCGGTGGGCCCGAGGTATCGTGATCAAATTTGGTGCGATGTGGTACCAATGGATGCCTGCCATTTGCTGCTGGGCCGCCCATGGCAGTTCGACAGAGCAGCTACTCATGACGGACGCCTCAACACCTATTCGTTCTCTTTTGAGGGGGTGCGAATCGTCTTGTAGCCGTCTCCATCCCTTCCATCACCGGTGGCAGGCTCGTCACCACCGGTCCTTCATATATCTCGTTCGGCATTTTTGGCAGAAACACGTGCCTCCCCTGTGGTTCTGTTGGTTGTTGGTCGGGACACGATGGGTGATCAGTCGCCACCAGCACTGATGCAGCCCCTGTTGACTGAGTTCGCAGACGTCTTTCCGGATGAGCTCCCATCGGGTTTACCGCCACTTCGTGACATTCAGCACCACATTGATCTGGTTCCCGGTGCATCTCTTCCTAATCGTCCCCATTATCGCATGAGCCCGACCGAGCACGAGGAACTGAGGCGACAGGTTGAGGATTTGCTCCAACGGGGTGTGGTTCGTAAGAGCATGAGTCCTTGTGCGGTACCGGCCCTTCTCATTCCAAAGAAGGACGACTCGTGGCGAATGTGTGTCGATAGCCGGGCAATTAATAAGATCACGGTCCGGTACCGTTTTCCGATACCGAGACTGGATGACTTACTTGATCAACTTCACGGGGCGTCCATTTTCACCAAACTAGACCTGCGTAGTGGGTATCATCAGATTAGGATTCGCCCGGGCGACGAATGGAAGACGGCGTTCAAGATTCGTGAGGGGTTGTTCGAATGGTTGGTGATGCCATTCGGGTTGTCGAACGCCCCTAGCACATTCATGCGAGTGATGAACCAGTCACTTCGGGAGTTTATTGGCAGATGTGTCGTCGTTTATTTCGACGACATCCTTATTTACAGCCGGTCAGTGGAGGAGCATCTCGAGCATGTGCGAGCAGTTCTCCTGGTTCTACGGGCTGAGGCGTTCTTTGCTGCTCCACGTAAGTGTTGTTTCATGGTGTCTTCTGTTTTGTTTTTGGGGTTTGTTATTTCTGCTGAGGGCATTCGGGTACTACCCATTCCTTCTCAGCCTTGGTGTGCGGTGAGTATGGATTTCGTTTTGGGTTTACCTCGTACTCAGCGTGGGTTCGACTCTATTTTTGTTGTTGTGGATCGGTTCTCCAAGATGGTGCATTTCATACCTTGTAAACGCACCACTGATGCTCTTCATGTTGCCCAACTGTTTTTTCGGGAGGTTTACCGTTTGCATGGTTTGCCGTCTTCGATTGTTTCTGACCGTGGTACTCGTTTCTTGAGCCACTTCTGGCGGAGCTTATGGCGCATGGCCAATACACGGTTGGATTTTAGTAGTGCTTACCATCCACAAACGGATGGCCAGACGGAGGTCGTGAATAGATCGTTGGGCAACTTGCTTCGATGTTTGGTTGGTGATAATCTCCGTTCTTGGGATCAGCGATTGAGTCAGGCTGAGTTTGCACACAACTCGGCCATCAGTCGTGCCACAGGGTTCTCTCCGTTTCAGACGGTGTATGCCGTCCAGCCACGTGGACCGTCGGACCTGTTGGCCTTGCCGTCCGCGGCACGAGTTGATCGTCGGGCCGCCGATCTCATTTCGGACCTACAGGCCACGCATGCGGCCGCTCGGGAGCATTTGGAGTCCACCACCGCGGTTTACAAGAGGCAGGCGGACGCTCGGCGTCGACACGTTGAGTTTGAGGTAGGTGATTTTGTTTGGGCGGTGTTGACAAAGGACAGGTTCTCGGCCCATGAGTATAATAAATTGTCAGCTCGTAAGATTGGTCCGGTGGAGGTGCTGGAAAAGATCAACCCCAATGCCTATCGTCTTCGCCTGCCGTCGCATCTTCGCACTTCTGACGTTTTTAACGTCAAGCACTTGGTTCCGTTCACAGGCGATAACTCGGACGGAGACGAGACCGGTCCGGATTCGCGGCCGAATCCTTCTCAACTGGGGGAGGATGATGGAGACGAGACCGCGATAGCATATTTGAATAAATACGATCGGCTCCGAATTTAGCTTATTAATATTTTCCTTTTAGTATTTTATTTATTGCTTTATTTAGGTGCTTTTAATTAGTAGGAAATAATTATCTTGCACTTGTTAGCAAGATGAGGACTCTTTGTTCTTTTTATTTCGCGTATGACGCAAAACAGAACAGTCATTGTTGAGTTTTATCTGATTTTGAGTGAATTCTTTCGAGAGAGTATCTCGTGTTCTTCCCTACGTATCACGTTCTACATCAGTTTGGACTCGAGTTTGACCTAACAAGTGTGAGACCTCGCTAGGTACATTGAACAAGGACGTGTTGACTCCATCTTATTGTTTTAGGTAGAGTAGTGGTATGTTAAAACCTGAAAATGGCAGTCATAACACCTGATCGTTTTTTGCTTATTTATAACAGTCATCAGTAGGTTGTTACTGGTTGAAGACCAGAAGTCATCCCATACTGACTGGAATTCCTATAAATAGAACATGGCTTAGAGATGCAGAACACATTCATAATACACTGATCATCTGCATACTCTATAGCCTCACATATCATAACATATAAAAGTGTTCGGTTCTCGACTCCGTTCAAGTTCGACGGAGCTTGAAAGTCTGGTGTGCTGCAGCCTTTCGAGACGTCAGTCGTCGTATTATTGGGGACGAGAAGCATGAACTCGCTAGCACATTATATGGAGTATTCGTTTTGCGGAAAAAAAACACCCATTTCGGCTATTGTCTTTCCGTTTTCAGTTTGTAGTTTTGTTTTCTGTTTTTAGTTCAAGTTGTAAGAATTGAACTAAACTTCAATTTGTAGGATTTCTATGTAATCGACACTCAGTTTTGAACATTATGACCATTTTCATGATTACTTTTATCCAAGTTTCATTGAGGCAGTTTGTACTTGAGAACATATGTTTAGTCCTCGAAAGTAATCTATAGACGAGTCCTTGGATTCAGATTCATTCAAAGTCTATTTCTCGATGTTTCCAAATAAATGAATTCTTCAACAAATTAAATCTAATATCCAGCCAACCAGGTGCATATGGTTTAATCACAATAAACAATCATTGAGTTCAGTGGCAGGAAAGAATTAATGGGTTATGGTAATTAATATTGAATTTATTTATGAATGAGGTAGGCAGTAATTAGCTAGGGAGATTTGTCCCAGCAAGAAAATGCATAATGAGGGAAAGGGCTCTGGCTGGCTGGTAACTTGGGACTTGATGCCCAGCCCCTCTCACTGTTGCGAATCTTAAGTTGCCTTCATATACTTGTGTATATCCACCAACCTAATGCAAAAAACCAAAGCTTTACATTCAATAATAATTATTGGAAGATTAATCATGGTTGTGATTTAAACAAAATAAATAAATAAAAATAAAATGTAAATAACTAAAACATTTTTTAACTTTTTCATTAGTGTTATAATTTGTTCGTTAGAAGAAAAGGTAAATAACATAAATAGAACATAAGCTTGAAATCCTAATTAATGACAGACAAAAGCTTACCTCTCCATAAATGTACCAAGGGTACCATGGAGTTTTAACACGAAGTTTCATTTTTTGAAGGGATTGTTGTGTCGAAGTCACCGGTATCCTCCCATCTGTATCACCACTGCAAATGCACAAACACACAAAAACTCTTTTGATACACATTATTTATCTATATATATATATATACTTAAATATCAATAGTGTGACAAAATATATAATTACCTAAATATCCAAACTCGAAGACCATTAGCTATAAGCTCTTTGAGAAGAGGGATGACAGTTGATGGACTATCTTGCCATTTCTTGATGACATCACTACAATAAATCAAGAAAAAGGAAACCAAATTGTGACAGCGTACCTTTTGTGTCTTAAGTAACATATAATATATATGGTACATATATAAATAATTATCTCCCAGTCCAAATTGGTTTATAGTCAACAAAAATTAGGAGTAAGATTATTATAAAGATGAATTATATATAACTAACCTGCAAGGTTGCCAATCATAGGGTATATTAGTGACATTCGCATGAAGTGCCTTTTGGACCTCCGGCCTATTTAGGTAAGCGTGCACATAATATTCACTGCACGGGTCAATGCTCATTCCCTATGCCATCAAATTGCAAAATTAATAATAGTAATAATAATAATAATAATAATAATAATAATAATAATAATAATAATAATAATAATAATAATCACTTACTGAAATCTTCTTGGGCTTATCGGTGAGGTTAGGATTAGAGCATAATGGAGCATAAATGTTGTATATATCAATGTTCTCAATGTTCTTATCTGCTATACCAGCAGCTTCAATGCATTTAACTGATTGTTTGGTGACCTTAGGAGAAAAATCACAGTATTTCTTTATTTGATACGCAATATCATCTGATATCAAAGCGTGACTCCCGAAATATTCGTACATCCCTTTCGTGTCGGTCTCGTCGTTGATCACAGCATTTCCAATCTGAATTTAATTAATTAAATGTGTTGATTAATTAGGGTCACGTGTAAATATTAGATATATAAGGAATGTATATATAGCACCAGATATTATATAATGTATTTATTTATCTCACCCCACTAAACAAGATTCAAGATTGAAGCACGTGGGCCAGCCAATATTAGTTAAGCTAGAATTAATTTATATATATATATATATAATGCTAATGACAGTGAGAGTTGTAAACAAGATGTGATGATGATTAATTTGTGCAAATTTAATTGGTGGACATGGACTGGACAACTATTCAAGTTGCAGATACGTCTAGAATTAAATATAAGATATTCTTATACTAAAATACAAAACTGTATATATGAGGTAATTAAATTACACATGATAGTGCATGTTTCATAGGGAATATATATATATAATAGTATGACGACAACGTTTGAAACCAACGCATGATAAGGAATCATTGCCAGAATATAATAAACTAAACCAAATTAAGGTAAATTGTGCAATGAATTGAAAGAGCACTTTTTAATATTTACGTCTGTCTTTATCTTTTATACTCTCCATTATTAGATGATGAAATGATAAAAATTTTGGCCCGGACATCGTGGTCTCACTCACGAAGTGGACAAGTCGTCCAATAAACTTATAATAATTCTCAAAATCAATAATTTTCACCATGTTCATAGTTGAAAATGCAAACTGTCCACTCATTTTGTCAAGTGGCACATAGAAAAATAATATCCTAAAAGCATAAAAATATAAAGGAATGAACTTACAATGATGCCTTTGAGATTGATAATAGTCTTGTTGGCCTTTTGATTATGGTGTAGAATGGTGTGTGCCAACTGTGGCACGTAATGTCCAGCATAACTCTCGCCCGAAATGTAAAAATCTCTGTTTTTATATTCTGGAAATCTATCTAACCAGTTCAATAAGAAAGCATAATTGTCGATGGCAGTCCTTTTATCTCCACCAGTCACGAAATCAGCAGTCGTGTTTGAGTAGGAAAACCCAACTCCAGCTGGAGATTCCAAGAACAAGACGTTTGCAGCTAACAGAAACATAAAAAAATGGTTATCGATATATTAACTTCTACTCGAGCTAAAAAAAAAAATGTATATTAAAATATCGACAATGTACTTGATTGAAAAAGGACTATATATATATATACCATGATTCCATGCAAATTTGTTTGTGTAGAGTGTTTTGCCGTCACTGTGAACACGGAAGGGGCCGAGCTCCTGCATTGCTCCATAGGCAAGAGAAGAACAACCTGGCCCTGTTAATTAAACAATTCAAGATAGTAATCAAGATTTTGAATAAATAAAAGCATTAGATTAAGCAATAAGTGATGTTTTGTAATTATTAAAATTTGAGATCAAAACACCGTGACACTATGAATAAGGTATCGAATCAAAAGACAACAATGTTGACAAGTGGGGTTAGTTAAATCATATCATATTCATACCTACTACAAAATTACATCAACTTGTCTTTAATTAAATATAGTAAATTGTAGTTAAGATAATCAGTGATATCACTGATCATATATCATCATCTTCTATCATTACTATTACAAAGTGATTGTTGTATCATGATAGAATTAGTCTAGTAAAAAAAAAAACAGGCAACATATATTAAGCTACACACACATATATACATACCTCCATTGAGCCACAGAAGAAGAGGCAATGTGTTGTGAGAATTGCGAGCCTCAACAAAGTAATAGTATAAAGCTCGACCGGCCTTTATGTTCACTGTCACATATCCACCAAAATGCGACACATTACTGCCAGCTGGCTGCCCAGGCAATCTCCCTATCCTGTCTTTCTCTTTCTGCCCTTCTTCGGCCGTCTCAACTGCAAACTGAAAATTATCAACATGAAAATGGCTTCTGTCAATGTCACCATCACTTTTCATCTTCTCTCTGTAGATACGCGAAAGTGCTTCAACTTGCTTTTTGGCATTGCCACGAGCTATGAAGCACGACAAAATTAGAGTGGAAAAAATTAGTATAAGGGCTGTTTTATTTTTCATTTTCTTTTGGTTGTTGAAAAATCTAGAGATGTGAAGAAAAAAAGAGATGAAGAGTTGTATGGGATTTTAGTTTTCTTGAGTATATATAAGTAATAGAAACTAATAACTAGCTGTGGACATGGACAAAAATTAAATAAGAAAAAAAAAACAAAAAAAAGAAAAATTCTTTGTCGGCATTTGTTAAAATCTCAACAAATGAAACTTCCAACGGAGTGAAATTATGAGATTGGTGGCCTCATATCATTTCATATATTAAGGTGGTTTACAGCTATAAACATGTATTTCTATAGTTGAATATGTTCAGAGAATGATAATGAGCGTGTTTCAAAAAGATTTTTGTAGCTAATGAACGTGGTATAACATGACAGAATGGGTTAATTTGAGGCACATGACCCACATGTCCCCACATTATAGCTAGCTTGGCATGTTACTCTAAGGAGAAGCCCATATAATTTGGCTACTGTATGTGGGATTACTGTTTCGTTGATTATGATTGGCCAAATTGCAAAAACTAGCCAATAACTTAGACGGGTTGACATTTATACCCACCATCTTTCGACTTTGGCAATAATAGCCAAAACGTTTTAAAAAATCGGTATTTCTACCTAAATTCGGCCAAACTCGTCGGAACTCCGCCTGAGGTCACAAAACATGCCAGCGTGGACTGCACGTGGACAAATTAATCCACCTCAGCTATACCGTCTATAAATACAACATCCACGCGTGTTCTCCTTCATTTTTCAAGCAAAAATCGATAAAAATTCGAACCAAAAAGAAAAGCCCCAATCTTCACGCAAAAACCCTAGATTTCGAAAGCCTTCTTTTTCGGTACAACCTTCAAGAAATTCGACTTAAGAGTGAAGCTCTAACGAGATGTCTTACAACACAAGATAATCCAAATTGCCGTTGTGGGTTGCGAGCTGAAATTCGCACTTCGTGGAAAACTCCAAATTGTGGAAGAAGATATTTCTCGTGCCTCCATTGGCCTGTAAGTCATACAATGTTTGAGAGTTTTAGATGAATAAGTGTTTTGTAATTGAATTTGATATTTGTTTTTATTTATGTATTTTATTTTTGGTGGAATTCAGGGAGGAGGATGCAAGTATTTTGGATGGGTCAATCATCCTCTTTGTGCCCGTGCTCAACAAATAATTCCTGGGTTGCTCAGGAGATTGAATGAAATGGAAGAATCAAGTAAGAGTGCTGACATTGAAAAATTCGAGGTTCTGAAGTTTGAAGAAGAAAACAAGAAATTGAAGAAACTCAATTTTCAGTTTGAAGAAAAAAAACAAGAAGTTGAAGAAACTCAATTTTGAGTTTGAAGAAGAAAACAAGAAACTGAAGGCAGAAATTATGAAAATGAAGTATGAGAGTGCCAAAAAAACAAGACTTCTAAAGATGTTAGTAGCATTATTGATAATTTGGAGTTTGGTGTTTTTCTTTTGTGGCTCTCAGGCAGATGATGAAAAGATGATGAATAATTGATATTAGGTTGATGCATATTTGTAATGTTGTAGACATTGTTGTATTTGGATGTAACTTGATCTTGTAATGGCATAACAAATGTTAGTTTGTGTCATATTTGTGGGCAGTCTGTTGACCATTTTTTATAGTTTAAGCTGCAGCTTTGCCTGAAATACATGTAGCACAAAAATGTGTACACAAATTGTATGAACATAAAGATCATAACAAATTCATTACCAAATCCAACACAAAATCCAACAAATCCAACACAAAACCCCTTATAATCCAACACAAAATCTAACAAATCCAACACAAAACCCCTTATAATCCAACACAGTGCATACCAAATCCAACAAATTAGAATTCCTTACAAGACCATAACAAATTCATTACCAAATCCAACACAAAATGTATGAACATAAATTGTACACAAATTTCTTACAAGATCATAATAATTCCTTAGAACCCATATCAAAAACCATAACAAATCCATTACAAAATCCACAAAAACTACCAACCAAATCAGCCCATTATCAACCTGTACAAAAGATCTAAGCAAATCCATAGTTCAAAAGATCCCTTAAGCAGTTCAGAGTTCTAATATTATCCATAACAAGCCAATAAAAAATTCCTAACAGTCCATTATCAACCTAGTTCAACAGACACAAATTCACTTGTCATTGCGATGACATTTTTTGTTAAGTACCAAGTACTTTTTCCCCTTATCAACTACAACCTTTTTATGAGCTAATGTAATGCTGCTTCCCACAGAAAAAACAGGTCTCTCTCCAGTAAATGTAGGAGGCCCTCTGATTTGAACTCCATGTGTGGCTCTTGTAGGCTTCACTGGGTTTCCCCTGACTAACTGCTCATACATGGATGGTCCAGGAGTTGACCTCTGCATTGTGGCCATCAAAGGTGTCTGGGACTGTTGTGTAGGAATTTCTTCCATCGCCATACTTTCATCTTCATGATTTGACAGTGGTGGAAACAAAGTTGGGTTCACAGTACTTGCTAGGTTTCTAAGGGATGGACCACTGTTTCTTCTTACCTGAAATTAAAACACACATCAAAATAACTTAGTAATTGCACCCACAGTTAAATGATTATAAAACACAAAATAGCAGTATATATATTTAAAACACACAGTAGCAGTTAATTGCACCCACATTTAACTAAAATTAAAACACACAGTAGCAGTATGTACATTTAAATTAATTACCTGCATCTTCTGCATCTTCTGTACTGGTGGAGGTTGGTTAGTGTTAGATGAACATGTGGCTGCATTATGGCCTTCTCCACCACATCTGTTGCAGTTCACCTTTATCTGTTGCCTCTTCACTTTTGTAGGAGCTGAAGTTCCTTTTTTCTTCTCATTTTTCCCAACTATCTCATCACTCTCCCTTCTCCTTGCCTTAAAAGGTCTCCCTGCACCCCTTCCAAAATTTGGTGGCAATGGTGGTATGAAATGGTTATCCTCCCAAAGTTCAGTGCCATTAATGGGATACAAAGTGTTCCCATAAGCAGCCATATACTTGGACACTGTGTAGCATTCATCTACATAGTCCTCAACATTACCTCTCTGAAAATGGATGGCACTCAAAGCATGGCTGCATGGAATTCCAGACAATCCCCAAGACCTACATGAACAAACTCCATCCTTTAAGTTGACAGAGTATTGTGCACCATTGCTACACTTTATCTCAAAGTGTATGTCATCAGCCTTCACTGGTATGCAATCAGCCACTCCCTTATTGTGTAGCTCAAGAAGCTCCATTATTCTTGGACACAATTTATTCTTCCACTTTCTTGCAGCCCTATCTCTATTCTCTTGCATTCTCTTCATTAGGTATTCTCTAATCCACTCTAGCATTGTGATAATAGGTTCCTCTCTGGCCTCCAAAATACAAGAGTTAAAGGTCTCACAACAGTTATTCAATAACATATCACATTTGGGAACATCCTTGAAATGTGATTTAGACCACTACTCTGGTGGTTTATCAGAGAGCCATTTCCATGCTTCTGGGTTCATCTCCTTAAGCTCTGTCATTCTATTTGTGAATCCTGACTTGGTTGTGGACATTGCAGCAGCCCATAAGGCATTTGTGAATGCCAAACCCCTAAAACTAGCTGTTTTGAAGTTATTGCAAAGATGCCTGACAGAAAATTTGTGATCAGACTGAGGGAATATTTGCGCTGCAGCTTGAATGATCCCCTTCTGTTTGTCAGACATTAGGGTGAAACCACTGGTGTCAGTCATGGCTAAATCATTCTTCATAATAGTCAAGAACCATGACCATGTCTCTGTGCACTCACTACTGACCACAACATAAGAAAATGGGAACCACTTATTATTGGGATCAACACCCACTGCAACCAACAATATACCCTTGTGCGGGCCCTTCAAATGACATCCATCAATCCCCATTATTGGTCTGCACCCATCTCTATACCCTTTCTTCATTGCAGCAAAACAAATGTACAATCTATTGAACCTAGAATTTCCATTTTCATCAGAATCAGTACCTAAAATGATAGTAGACCCAGGGTTTGATCTTCTAAGTTTCTCATGATAATTCCACAGCTTAGAATATTGCCCTTCTGCAAAGCCTTTTAGAATTTTGAGTGCTCTTCTTTTAGTTCTATATGCTTGATCCTTAGAAATGTGACACCTTAGCTCTTCAATGGTGCTTGTCCTGAAACCTTTTACACTTCTCTTGGGGTCTGCCTTAAAGTCCTTTAAGTATCTGTCACACAACCAAGAGGACTTCACATTTTTCACCTGCAAGGTAGATGAACAAAAATAACTACCATATATAAGTGTGAATAAAAAATTAACTACCATATTTAAGTGTTAAAAAAATATTAAGTACCATATTTAAGTGTTGGGAAAAAAATTAACTACCAATATTTGTTTTATAATCATTTAACTGAATGTTAAGAGGTAGATAACGTTTCTGACCTGAAACAGATGGACAAGAATGTTCAGAAATGAATTCCTTGATGAACCAAGTTTCTTCATTCTTCTTCTTTATTAGATGCACTTTCCATGGGCAGTCTGTTGTAACACAGGTAACATACAACACATTTGCATGATATCATTATCATTTTCCAATAAGATTAAGTCATTGCAGTCATTAACCCCACCCCTACTGCAATATACACCTTTAATTGAATTCAACTATAATTCAGCTATCATGCTCATTACCTCAAGCAGTGACATTTCATCACGATGCAAAAATCGACATGAGAGACTCCACCGTTCAAGTAAATCTTGCAGCCTAAATCCACAAATTAGTTGCGCCATGGTAAAACCTAATAGTGAAATATTCATCATTTTCACCGGCAAGACAAACAAAAAAATGGTGTAAACACTAAAATCCCCAACCCCAGTCTAACACAAGATCATAAACAAAAAAACAATCACAGAAAACTTCAAATTGAAAAAATACAAAGGGCTTACCATACTCTAGGGCATTCGTATCATTCTTCTCGCGTAATTTCCAAACCATTGCTACGAAAAAATGCATCTCCATTTTGAGATTTTCGCCCTTTTCGTTCGATTTTGAGAAGTGGTCGTACTTTTTAGGGTTCAATTAGAGTTATGAATGCTTTCAATTCAGCGTTTTCCTATTTCAAAGTAATTTAATAACCAACCATTGGCGATTGCAAAAACAGGTATGGCAGGGAGTGTGAGAAGCCAAGGATCGATGTAATTGAGAAATCGCGCCCTAGATTGAATCTATCTTCAACGATCGATCAAAAATGTGGGAAGACCATACAAACTTTTCGAAGCGAAGTTCAGTCACCACGTAGTGCGGGGGATGGCTAATTTAACCGGAGATCGTAGTCTCAATCCTGACCGCAGTGAAGAGAGGATTTGGCCCAGACATCACATTCGAGAGAAAGAAAGAGCAAAGGTCAATTACATCGAACCACTCGCTTAAGTTCCATCATTGAGCGACAAATGGGAAATTTATGGTAAGTTACAATCCCTACCACAAAATAGTGCACCTACACGCCTTCGTCGCCGCCACCCGGCAATTCAAAATCAGCAGATCCATAAAAAGAAAATATGTAAAAAAAGAAGAAGGAAATAGATTCAAAAATTAGATTAAGAAAAAAAAATTGCTTCGCTTCGTTTGTTGGATCATTTATGAAGTTATAGTTTGATCGCTGATCGAGTGTGAAGTACAAAGCGATCAAGTTCCAGTAGTGCCAGGTGCCGCTAGAATACGTTTCTACAGTTCAAATAATACATTGTCCGCTTAGAAGGGCTTGGTTTTGAAGACATCGCTCTTTTGATTTCGGAAAAAACTTGCGAGCCCTGTCTCAGTGTCTCAATCCCAGTTGGTGGAGATGGAAGAAGAGAGGAAGGGGAGAGTGCAGTAATATACTGGAGCTAGGGAGAGGGGATCACTCCATTCCTGTGTACCACCCCTATGGGTTGTATTTTTTGCCATTCATCCAAAAGAGAAGGGTCGATCTCTGATGGCCGGAAGTCGTTAAGTGCAACAATTTTCGAAGTTCAAGGGGTAAAGTGTAACCGAAAAAAGATGAGTGGGCAAAGTGTAAAAACGCGAATAGTTGAGTAGACAAAGTGTGATTTTCCTAATTAAAAATTAGAGGAAAAAAAAAGTGGAAACATTTTGAGGGTTTACCTTTAGTGTCAAGCTGAAACTTACTAGCTAAGTTGGATATAATCTCAAATATCCTCTTTGTTATAGTCATGCAACAAGCAGCCTTAATAAGATAATACGGCAACCAAATAAAAAATGAAAAACAAATGTATAAGCAAAAGCCATGAAATAACAAGATAACACGCAACATAATTTCTACCTCCATATTAGGCGAATACAAAATTAATAGATGGGGAGAGCGCTTTCTCCCCGACGGCTTCTCGAATGATCACTAAATGAAGTAAAGTCTCATGATGACTAACGGTCACATATAATCGCCACCAACACACTTCATATTCTCATCCATACCACAACACCACAAAGATTTGCTGCAGAAGTTAGATTATATAACAAATGATCAAGATTAAAGGATGTAGGTCCTCTGAAAGAAGTAGATCAAACAAAGTCTCACGCCAAGGTCAGGCAGACAAACCAGAAATCAAAGAGAATGCAGGGTAACAAACTAACTATGAAACTTAAGTCAATGCAAACGAAGTGACAGAAAAAAACATAAATTACCAATCCTGCTGTAGTATCGGATTTATCAATTCCATAAACACACATCCAAGGAGAAAATAACAATAACTGAAACTTTGTAGTACAGAATAGAGGATTTTACAAAGTTCGAAACAACAAAAAGGGTAATAAACAATAGTATTCTGAGGTGGTGTCAAAGAAGTGGATCCTCCTTACTACTGAAAAATACAAGAATCCTAATCCAAATGTTAGAAAAGTCAGATTATGGCAATAAATGTATACATTGAAACAAAATATCTACTAGAGAGCCCAGACATCCTACGGCACAAATAATCCAAAATCTAGTCTCCATCCCAAGAAAAGCATAGAAATTATCTAGGAAACACAAATAACATATTAGAGAGAGTTCAAAGTTTAGAGGACAGATGTGTTAAAAACAAGTTACACGAAACTAATTCAAAGCTTCAATCAAATCTCATGACAAGGTAGGAAAGATAAGCAATATATTCAAAGCTCAAGAGTCGAGAGAAGCGTAATAAAAGTTCAGAGTTACCAAGCCAAGAAGAATGGAAATTGAATGGACATCACAAACAAAATCAAAGCCCACCATTCGCTTTCCAAGGTATATAGGGAAATTGAATGGACCCCATTGAGATCACAGAAGAATGGAACAAAACATCAACATTGTAAGGAAAAAAAGTATGTCATTCCTATCCGTACATTGAAAACCCAAAAAACGTAATCGAATAAGTGATAACAAACCCCTTAGCCATAAACAGGTAGCACAAGCAAATTCAACACCTAAACCAAGTTGTTTGTAGACCAATGTAGGGGAAAAGAATATGAGGTTCCATATTGCAACCACAGGAGAGGGGAACAAAGGAACAAGAAATATCAAAGCCCAAACAAGGTCGCCCCCAAAGTAAGGAAAACAAATCGGATGAACCCTATTGAGAGCACAGGAGAATGAAATAAGAGATCAAAGTTGAAANAAAAAAAAAAAAAAAGTGGAAGTTGTATTGTAGGTTTTCTGGAAGAAATCTCTAGAGTACACTGCAAACCTGAACTCTAATCAAGTGCCCCCCATTAGCCACAAATAGGTAGAACAAAAAATATCAAAGCCCAGACAGGTCGCCCCCAATGTAAAGGAAAACAAATCAGATGAACCCTATTGAGAGATTGAGAGCACAGGGGAATGAAATAAAAGATCAAAGTTGAAAGGGTAAGGAAAACAATAGGTTACTGGTAGAAAATATTAGTAAATAGACAACAAAAATCTAATTGTATGTCGAACCCCT